GACTGGGACACAGTCTCACTGACTGGGTCACAGTCTCACTGACTGGGGTACAGTCTCACTGACGGGGACACAGTCTCACTGACTGGGACACAGTCTCACTGACTGGGGTACAGTCTCACTGACTGGGGTACAGTACCTTGTTTGTAATCTCTCATTCCTGGCAGTGGTGGTGGCAGGTTGAATTAACAGTTAGGAAATGAATGAATGAATGAGGAGCTGGCCCTCATTAAGATACAGTCTGGAGCTGAGCAATATTACCAGTTGTGAAGCAGAGATGAGAGTTTCAATGGAAAACTAATGTCTAACTTTGCCAGCTTCAGCATCCTTTCTAAGCAAACTGACCAATCTCGGGTTCTCCTCCAATTGGCACAAGATTATTGGGCAGGGGGTAAGGAAGGGGACATCTGGGGGATTCTGGCCCCTCACCTCACACCAGTGACTCCCCAGTTTTATGTGGAAAGGAAATGATTTAGTTAAAGACCTCATTTTAAGTGTCAGCTTCATACTGTATTCATCTTAGACAGAGGTGGTTTATTTCACTGTGTGTGAGTGTGAGAACCAACCACACCCTGGACATATAGTTCAGGAGGGAGGAGTTGAGATTTCTTATCATATTAAGCTCAATAGATGACTGGAGGAGGGAGAAGAAAATGCAACATTCACAGTCCTCAGACAACCCAAAGTGCTTTCTAGCCAACAACGTGCTGGTATAGGAAATGATGTGTGAGGGTTTCCTCAAGCGAACAGCACTGCCAGGGGGATACAGGCTGAGTCAAAGGAAAAAGAGTAGAGACAAAGAAAATTTAGGATGATTAAAAATGACAAAAAGCCAACCCTAAAGGCTTTGTATCTTAATGCATGGAGCATTCGGAATAAAGTAGATTAACTGGCAGCATAAATTGAGGTAAATGAATATGATCAGACCGTCATTACAAAGACACTGTTACAGGGAGATCAGAAGTGGGGAGCTTAACGTTCAGGAATATTTGACCTTTCGGAGGGACAGAAGGAATGGAAAAGGTGGTGAGGTGGCACTGTTAGTGAGAAATGAAATGAAAATAGTTGCGAGAGATGATCTAGGCTCAGATGATGTAGAAGCCAGTTGGGCAGAGGTATAAAAACAGCAAGGGAGAAAAGACATTGGTAGGAGTAGTGGACAGAACCCCCCCCCAGATAGTAGCCAATCTGTGAAAAAGGCTATAAATCATCAAATAAAAGGAGTATTAAAAAGAATAGAGCAATAATTATGGATGACTTTAATCTTCACGTTGATTGGTTAATCAAATTGTAAAGAATACATTAGGGATAGTATCCTAGAGCAATGTGTCATGAAGTCAACCAGGCTATCTCGGATCTGGTAATGTGCAATGAGATAGGTTTAATAAATAACCTCAGAGTAAAAGATCCTCCAGGAAGTAGTGATCATAACATGATAGAGTTTAATATTCAGTTTGAGAGTGAGAACCTTGGGCCAGAAACAATTGTGTTTAACTTAAATACAATGAAAGGAGGATGGAGTTAGCTAAAGTGAACTGGGTGATAGATTAACAGGAATGACAGTAAGTAAGCAGTGGCAGACATTTAAGGAGGTAATTCACGAATCTCAGCAAAAATACATCCTAATAAGGAGGAAAGATTCTAAAAGAAGGATAAACCAGCAATGGATGTCCAAGGGGGTTGAAAGGAAAAGCATGTAAGGAGGCAGAAGTCCATCATAGGCCTGAATCTTGAATCCAGCAAACGATGACTCAGATGATCAAAGGGAGAGAGAAAATAAAATTAGGAGGGCAAACTAGTGAGTAATATAAAGCTGACATCAGCTTCTTTAAATATATGAAAAGGAAGAGAAAAGTCAAAGTGAACATAGGCCTCTTAGGAAATGAATCAAGGGAGACAGATTTGGGGAACAAGGAAATGAAAGAGGAATTAACAGATATTTTGATTTTCCACTGTCTTAACTCTGGACGAAACATCAAACATTCCATTGATAGCAAAGAACAGAGGAGGAATTAAGTGCCATGTACAAAAGAAGTAGTATTAGACAAACTAATGGAACTAAAGGTAGATAAATCCCCTGGCCCTGATGGCTTGCATCCTAGGATCCTAAAAGAGGAAGCTGGAGAGATAGTGGATGCATTGGTTGTAATTTTCCAAAAATCCTTGGATTCTGGAGAAATACCAAAGGATCAAAAAACTGCCAATGTGCCACCCTGATTCAAAAAGGGAGGGAGGCAAGAAGCAGGTAACTTCAGGCTGATCCGCCTAACATTTATTGTTGGAAAAATGTTGGAATCAATTCTTGAGGAAGTGATAGCAGCACATTTGGAAAATCATAATCTAATCAGGCAGAGGTAGCATGGCTTCATGAAAGGGAAATTTTGTCTGGTTAATTTATTAGAATTTTTCAATGTCTCAACCAGGGTGGATAAAGGGGAACCACTACATGTGTTGTATTTGGACTTCCAGAAGGTATTTCACATGGTACGAAACAAAAGGTTAATCACAAGATAAGAGCCTACAATATTGGAGGTAGCACATTGGCATGGATAAGGAATTGGCTGATGGGCAAGAAACAATGAGTGAGGATAAGAGGTTCTTTTTCAGTTTGAATACCTGTAACCAGTGGGGTTCCACAGGGATCAGTGCTGGGACCACAGATGTTTACAATACAATGAAGTGAATGTACTGTAGCCAGATTTGTGGACAAGACAAAAATGAGTGGAAAAGTAAGTTGTGAGAGGGTTACAAAGAGGTTTACAGAGAGGCACTGATCGCATATATAAGTGGACATAAAGTTGGCAAAAGAAGTAGCATGTGGGAAAATGTGAAGTTGTTCATTTTCAAAAGGAGAGCAATAGAATAGAATATTATTTAAATAGAGAAAACCTGCATAAAACAGCAACACTAAGGAACTTGGGGTACTTGTGCATGAATTATAGAAGGCTAGCACACAGGTACAGCAGGTAATCAGGATGACTAATGGAACATTGGCCTTTATTTCTAGGGGGTTGGAGTATAAGAGTACAGAAGTCTCATTGCAATTGTATAAGGTGCTGGTGAAACCACATCTGGAGTACTGTGAGCAACTATATTTCCCCTTATTTAAGGAAAGATGTCATTTCATTGGATGCAGTTCAGAGAAGGTTCATTAGGATGGTTCAAGTATAGTTGGAAAACAAACACAGAAGTTGCTGGAAAGGCTCAGTAGGTCTGGCAGCATCTGTGATGACAAATCAGAGTTAATGTTTCAGGCCCGATGACCTTTCCTCAGAACTGAGGTCCACTGTTTCAGTTCTGAGGCACAGTGAATACATCAGCTTCTTTTGCTTTAATTTTGTATGAAAGGCGCTCTATAAAAACGTATTCTTTCAGGTCCCAGTGGGGCGGGGCAGTGTTATTCCTGAAAAGATCATGGATTTCAGCAGTTGAAATTGGTGGATCAATTGATAACTGGGGTTTCTTTCTCTCTCATGCGCAGTGACGGGGGCGAAGTTGACTTTTTTACTGAGCAGCAGTCAGAGCCTGAATCCCAAGCAGCGAGCAGAATTACAGCGAGTGTGCATGCTCTTTGCTTCTTGCATGGAGCTGCTCCACAGGGATCTGCGGCAAGTTCACCAGCTCGAACTGCTTTTCCCACTGGAAAAGCCCCAGTTTCTGATCAACACCGGGATGACGGGTGACCCTTCTGGACCCACCAGCGAGCAGAGCGGTGAGAAGGGAGGCTCTGGAGAGCTGAGCTTGGATGCACTAATACTGGAAGTTGGGAGACTCCTGTGTGAGATGGAGACTAGAGTACAGGCCCCTGTCTGGAGCTCCGATGCCACCACTGAGCCCTGGGCAGAGGCCAGCTCTGACGATGGGCCTGACACAGCCTCACCTGATGGGCTAACAGAAGAGGAAACAGAAGGAGGCAGTAACTGTAGCTGTAAAGGCTGCTGTGTCATCTCCTAGTTCAGTCACCGAAGTGCACAGCATTTATGCATCACATGAAAACAACTTGTAAAAATTGTAACCACTGTTTATTCAGTGAAAATAAAGCAGTTGTTCAATTCAATCCTGAGTTCGTCGCACCGACTACTTGCTCAGAACACTGTTAAAGCACGACAGCCCCTTCCTTCAACATAATAAAGTCGCCCAAGATACTTCACAGGAACTACTACAAAAGAAAATTAGCAACATTAAGAGGGATTGACTGATGAATAAAAGCTTTCTCAAGGTGGTAGGTGTTTGGAAGTATCTTGAAGGGGATTCTGGGTAATCCAAGATGGAGGATGGGAGAAATTGTGGATGTAAGAGCTTCTCCCTTTTTGAGGACTTTTCACTGTTGGAGCTGATTTCCTCGATTTCTTGGTGTAGTAATTACCATTTTATAAGCTGTTCCCCAGGTTAGGGGAGTGTAAAACTAGAGGGCATAGTTTTAAGGTCAGAGGGGAATGATTTTTTCTTTACAAGGAGTGTGGTGGGAGTGTGGAATGCGTTGCTGGCGGTGGTAGTGGAGTCAGATACTTTAGAGACATTTAAGCGACTCTTGGATAGGCACATGGAGGATAGTAAAATGTAGGGAATGCAGAGTAGTTTGATCTTAGTAGGATAATAGGTCGGCACAACATTATGGGCCGAAGGGCCTGTACTGTTCTATGTTCTGTGTTCTATGTTCTTATAAGGGACCTAAGGGGCAACTTTTTCAAACAGAAGGTGGTGCGAGTTTGGAATGAGCTTCCAGAGGAAGTGGTGGAAGCTGGTACAATTACAACATTTAAAAGGCATATGGATGGTTATATGAAAGGAAGGGTTTAGAGTGATATGGTCCAAATCTGGCAAATGGGATTAGATTAATTTAGGATACTTGATCAGCATGGCCGAGTTGGACCATAGGGTCCATTTCTGTGCTGTATAACTATGACTCCAGAGAGATGGTGAGATGTGTTGGGAAGAAATGGAAGATCCTAGAACTCAGACACATGAAGACAGAACCTCCAATAGTGGAACAGTTATAGTTAGGGGCATAAGGCCAGAATTAAAGGATTGCAGAGATCTCAAAAGGTAAGGAGAGGCTTAGAGATATGGAAGGACAAAGCCTTGGAGGGATTAAAAAAGGATGCAAATATTCAAATTGTTACAAAGTTGGGTAGAGTATTCCCAGTTGAATTTAGGCCAGTTAAGGAGTAGTTAGTAGTCTAAGGGGGAATTGTCATGTTGTTAGTAATTCTGTTAATTTCTTCATTGTTAGGGTTAAATAAATAAATTGTTCTTTGTTATTTGTAAAGTGGAGACCAGGGATTGTCTTTCTTTTAACTACTTTTAACAGATTACGAGGGGAAAGGCTAGCTTCTCTCAGTTTTTCAGGGGTAATTATTAGAGGGGAACCCCTACTCCCATCATAACAGATTGGGGCTTGCGTTTTGGTTTAATTATCGAGGGGTTTGGCTATTCCCCCTCCGTAACAAAAATTGGGGGCTCAAGTCCAGGACCTGGTCAGTTTGAGTCCAGGATCTGAACAGATTTGCACAAACTTAAACAGAGTTGGGGATGAGTGTCCTAGATCTTTAAACTTAGGTGAGAAAAATCTGTTTAATTTTGGTTACATGTAGTAGGTTAAATTAAAAGTGAGGGAAATGGCTCTTAACATTGCTAAAGACGTTCCAGGATTTGAAGATGCTTCCCAAATTTGCCAAGAAAGTTTAGAAAGACAAAGAAAGGACATACTTTTAGAATCTGCAAATAGCCTTGAATTGGATTTAACGAGGGATAAAAGGAAAGCTGAAATTGTAATGGAGTTGGTCAAGCACTTAGGTATATCACAGGAACAGTCAAGTGTTAGAAAAAAGTAAATTGCAAATGAGACAACTGGAGTTAGAAGATAAAGAAAGGGAAATAATGTTTGAGTTGGAAAAGATGAAGTTGGAACTAGAAGCAAAAAGACTTCAAATGACAGAAGTAAAAGTACAGAACAGAAGTGAGGATGGGTAAACTGATCGTAACCAGCAGCCTGGTAGGGATATATATAAATATGTCCAAACATTACCAAAATTCAAAGAAAAAGATGTCGAAGTCTTTTTCATTTCCTTTGAGAAATTGACTAGGCAGATGAACTGGCCAGAGCCTGTGTGGGTAATGTTAATTCAAACCAAGCTGGTAGGTAGGGGTAGTGACGTGTTTGCAGCGCTGTCAGGGGAGGTGTCAGGAGAACATGAAGAAGTAAACCAGGCTATTTTGAGTGCCTACAAATTGGAACCAGAAGCATACAGACAACGGTTCAGAAACATAAAGAAGGAACCATATGTCGAGTTTGAAAGAACTAAACAGAGCAACTTCGATAGATATGTGAGAGCATTAAAGACAGAAAAGACGTGTGAGGATCTTAGAGAGATTATTCTGCTGGAGGGGAATAACTTAGATTGAGGAACAGAAAGTTACCAAAGTAAGAAGAGCTGCAGAGGTGGCAGATGAATATGTACTAGAGCATAAATTAAAATCTAGCTTCCAACAGCAATTTCATTCTGTGAGGGATAGAAATTGGGAAAGAGGGAGATTCTTCAATGCAAAACAAAAAGTAGATCACACTGGGAATACTGACGTTTCGGGCCTAGACCCTTCTGGGGTCTAGGCCCGAAACGTCAGCCTCTCTGCTCCTCTGATGCTGCTTGGCCTGCTGTGTTCATCCAGCTCTACACCTTGTTATCTCAGATTCTCCAGCATCTGCAGTTCCTACTATATCTCACACTGGGAATAGTTTACTACATGAAGAAAAAACTCAAGAGGCTGAGAAAGAGGTGAAAGGCCTCAGGTGTTTTCACTGTAATGGAGTGGGACACACAAAGTCACAGAGCTGGTGGATTAAGAGGGACACTGGGAAAAAGGATGTGGTAACAGAGGCTAAACCAGTGGCACGAGTTGAGATAGTGAAGGAAATCCCAAGAGAAGTTGAGGAGCTGCAGAAAAGAGCACAGCCTCGTCACAGGCTGGATAATAAAATAGTACCCAATCTCTTCAAAGACTTCACCTCTGTGGGTAAGGTTTACTCAGTAAGAACAAGGGGAGAAGGTAAAGAAGTTACAACATTGAGAGATATAGGAGCTTGTCAGTCGCTAATAGTCAGAGATGAAAGTATTTGTACTTCTTCTGAAATGTTGCCTGAGAGAGTGATAATCTATAGAATAAATGGAGAGAAATTTAGCGTTCCCCTGTATAAGATCAGGTTGGAAGATCCATTCAAGACTTGGGGAAGTGACAGTGGGAGTGATTGAAAGAATGTTAATTCCAGGAATACAGTTTGTTCTTGGAAATGACCTAGTAGGATCAATAGTGGGAGTGACGCCCCTTGTAGTGGAGAAGCCGAAGGAAAATCAAGGAACTGAGGAGTTAAAAGGAAAATATGCTGGAATTTATCCAGACTGTGGGGTGACAAGATCCCACAGTCATAAGTTAAAGCAAGAAGGGAAAAAGATGAAGGAGTTGAGGTCCAGTTAGCTGATACTCAGTTTGCTGAAATGGTAAAGGAAGAGCCTAAGGGGTAGAAGATCAGGCAGAGGTGTTTATCTGAAAGATTAATGGAGTTACAACAAAAAGATGAGACCATAAAGGATTTAAATCATAAAGCCTACTCAGAAAAAGAATCAGTGTATTCCAGAATGCTACTACGTTAAGGATAAAGTCTTAAGGTGGAAATGCAGACCTTGGCAGGTTAGTGCAAAGGAGAGGTGGGTGGAAGTTAACCAGATTGTATTGCTGGTAGAATACAGACAGAACGTGTTGTGGGTAGCACACAAATTATCTGTAGGAGGTCATCTCCGAGTGAGGAAGACTTGGGCTAAGGTACAGAAGCATTTTTATTGGCCTGGATTACATAAAGATGTGGTTGAATTTTGCCGTATCTGTCACATGTGGCATGTGGTAGGAAAGCCACATGCAGTGATAAAACCAGCGCCTTTGATGCCAATTCCCATATCTGAAGAACTTTTTACATGGGTTATAATTGATGGTGTAGGTCCCGTCCCTAAAACCAAAACTGAGAATCAGTATTTGCTAACCATAACGGATGTGCCGACCAGATTTCCGGAGGCAATTCCATTATGGAAAGTCAAGGCAAGAAAGGTTGTGGAGGAGTTGCTTGCTTTCTTTACCCGTTATAGATTACCCAGGGAGATTCAGTCAGACCTAGCGTCTAATTTTACTGCCAAATTATTTAAGTAGGTGATGGATAGTTTAGGCATCAAACACTTCAAATCAAGTGCGTACCCCCCTGATTCCAGGGAGCATTGGAAATGTGGTATCAGCCCCTAAAGACCATGCTGAGGGCTTACTGCCAGGATTACCCAAATGATTGGGATAAAGGTATCCCATTTATGTTATTTACTATTAGAGTTACTCCAAATGAATCAACGCAGTTTATTCCATTTGAATTGATATTCAAACACAAAGTAAGATGGTCTTTAAAATTAATTAAGGAAAAGTTGATAGGTCCAAAGTCAGTGATCTCAGAGTTGGATTATGTATCTGAGATGAGAGAAAGATTAAACAGAGTAGTGAATTAACTAGACAACATCTGAAGGTGGCACAGCATCTAGTGAAGCAAGAAGCAGATAAGAAATCTAAAATTCAGATGTTTGCCCGTGGGGATAAAGTATTGGTACTGTTAGCAGCGGTAGGAGATCCCTTCAATGCAAGGTTTAGTAGTCCTCATCAGATTGAGAAGAAGCTGAGTCAGGTGAATTATCTGGTAAAGACGCCAGATAGAAAAAAGCATTATCGGGAATGCCATGTGAATATGTTGAAACCCTTCTATGACAGGGAGAGGGAACCAGAGAAACAGGTATTAGTTACTGCCTTTCAGAGTGAGGGATCAGAATCCAAATGCTTTGATTTTGATGTGTCTCAAAGTAAGTCAAATAATGAGGAAGTCTTTAGAGAATGGGATAGGATAGTGAGCTATTTGTCTCAGGAACAGAGAA